CCCCCCCCCCCCCCCCCCCCCCCCCCCCCCCCGCAGATTGTTCCACCTGTACACACCACCCAGGCAGAGCAAACCTTCCTCCTATTATGAACATTCATGAGGCTGCGGCAAGGCTTTGCTTTCAAGCACAACAGCAAGGCAGGTTTATGTTTGTGTGTGTCCGTGGCCCTCGAGCCCGGAGTCGCCCCTTAAAGACCGGGCAGGGGTACCTAGAGTTGCCGGCTGGAGATGGTTGCCAGAGGATGCCAGGCCCTGGCCTCCAGCGCCCCCAGATCCGGGGAGTGGGGTGGGGGGTCACTCTGGATTGCGTCCCCACACAGCTGTGGGCATCTAAGCGCCTAGCGCATCTCGCGCTCGGTTGGGGCGCTCGGTTAAAGACGCGTCCGCAGCTCGCGGGCAGGGCAGGGACCACCCCCCGCCGCCCGAGGATCTGGGGCTCGCGCCCTGCGGCCCTCTGCGGGAATCTGATTTCGGTTCTTGCCCTCCCAGTTCTCACCCTGGGAGGGAGCCACCCGTTCCCTCTTCCGCGGCTCGGGTGCCAGGTTCCCTGACTTTACCTGTGCGCTGCTGGTTCCAGAAAGGCGACAGGCGCTGGAAGTATTGGCGGAGGCGTCGGGGAGGCGGGGCGAGCTGGCGCGGGGGTGGCGCAGCCTCCGCTCGGGACCGCCCCCTCAGCGGTGTCAAAGCCAAGAACCTCTTCACCTTCTCTATTCCACTGGCGGGCGCCCCAGCCTTCGGTGGAAGCGGAAGGGAGAGGGTGAGCGCCTAGTTGTTGAAGACAGTCCCTGCCTGCCCCTGGGGCCCACAGTCCCTCGCCAAGTTATAGCCAAATAGCACTTCACCTTCCCTCTTGTAGTTCTCTCTGTTATCACCTCAACCCAAAGTAGAAGAGGAAGGGGCCAGATTTTGCCCTAGATCCCTCGTAAGCCTGTGTAGGGGAGAAGGAAGGGTCCTATCCATTGCCGGCTTCGCTTCCATCTTTGTCAAAGCAAAGAAGCTTTTGATGTCTTCTAGTTTCCTTTACTGTCACCCCAAACCTAAGTGGAGGAAAAATAGGGCCAGGGGCCAAGTAGTGACTAGTTATTCCTGGGGCATGCATGACTTTGTGCAGTTCCCCCACCCAGGTGGAGGGCCCTCTACTGTCTTTGGGAGCTGGAGTGGAACACCGATAATGTTGGTGATGAGCCAAGTAGGCAGGTGGGTCCCTGGGTCGCGTACTTCTGAAGCACAAAGCAATGCACTGAGACATTCCCTTTGGTATTATAGCAGAACCACTTTGACTACGCCCAGGGACATTCCCAGTGATTACTAAACAATGTTCTCCCCTTCCCTGTTTTTAAAATGAGCATTTTTAAGCCAAAATTTAGGGCTAGCTCAATCTAGAAGAGGCCAAATAGGAAAGATTGGGGGGCGGGGACAGCAACACCTGGGCAGCAGTGATCCCAAACCCTAGGAATGTTTCTAATGCAGTAGCAGGCAGCTCCTGGTCCCTCTGAGTGACCTCAAGGACCCTGGAATTATCCCAGGAAGAAGCCTGAGTGGTCTGTGTTGGTCCATCCTTCCTTGTGGCTCCTGGGGGTCCTGGGCCTGCTCACCCTCTTCTAGAGATACACCAGTTTCCTATCGTGTGCAGTTGATAGAAAAGCCTCTATGAGGTAAGAGGGCCTTAAGAGAGAAGTGTCTTTCTTAGAGATGTCTGAGCTTGGAGAGGAGGATCCCAAGTGAGGGCTCTGTGTGTGCACATGTCCACATGCATTGTGTGAATGGGCCCTTGCTGTTGTATTGGTACAGGGTCTGCACTAGGTGTGTCAGACATTCAGTGAGTGCTGACTACAACATGAGTCTTATTTTCTTTGAAAGCTGCGGGCCAATGAAAGATAAGGCATATGACAGAGCTGAGGGTCCCTCTGTATTTAGTATTCCAGACCTGAGGTCAGTAAGATCTGCTCCCAGGGATAGATGCTGGTCCTAGCATCTCCAGTGATTGATTTCCTGGGAACTGGGAAAAGTGATTTCCTAGGAAGCCTGGAAATACAGTTGGTGATAATATCCAAAAATAGCAGGGATTGGTCCATTCCAGCTTTCCTCTCTGCTTGCCTCAATCTACAGGTCTCATAATTTAGCTATGGAGCACTAACCTCCTTTGAGAACCTTACAGTCTCCAACTCACCTTTAAGTTTTCCAAACTTCTCTGGAAACCATCTGCTCCAGGCACTGTGCTAACTTCTTTGCAGTCCCCAACTAGTCCTAGTCATCCATAGGCACTTTGCCATCTTCACTATGTAAGGGGACACACATAAACACACACACACACACACACACACACACACACACACACATTTTCCCATCCACCCCCACATAGAAAAACTCAAACCCTTTACAGCTCTTTTTGATTATAAAATAGTACAGATGTGCTTCACTTGATATCAAAGCATATTATAAAGCTATAGTACTTTTAAAAAGCCTAGTTTGGGCACAGGAATATACCAAAAGATCTAAAGGACAAAAGACACTCTAGTATCAGACTAATGGGTGTGGAATTTAGTATTCAGAAATTGAGCGGTTGAAAGAACATATTCTCCAATAACTAGCATTGAAACCACCACTTTGGGGAAAAAAAATCCCAGTCACTCACCAAGCACGCACACACACATACACACACACACAAGATTTTAGATGGATTAAAATTTAAATATGAAAAAGAATTTAATGTTCTGAGAAAATATAGAAGAGCATTTTTATGATACTTGGGAAGGAACAGTCTCTCCTGGCATGAGATCAAAGCAGGAAGATAGTCAACCAAACTGAATCCTTAAAAATGAAAAATTACTGGCTGGGCCTGGTGGTGCACACCTGTAATCCCAGCAGCTCAGGAGGTGGAAGCAGGAGGATCACAGGTTCAATGCCAGCCTCAGCAATTTAGTGAGCCACTAAGCAACTTAGTGAGACCCTGTCTCTAAATAAAATACAAAATAGGGCTAGGGATGTGGCGCAGTGGTTGAGTGCCTCTGAGTTCAATCCCTGGTACCCATTCTCCCCCCCCCCCCCAAAAAAAAAAAAAGAAAAATCACTGTATTGAAAGATATGCAAACAAATATAAATATATTATATTATAAAAATATAAATTGTGGGGGAAATGCTTAAGAATGTAATAGCAAGGAATTTAAAACCATAATATAGCCTAAGGTCCTACGAATCCATAGAAAAATAGGAATGTCTAAAATAGAAAGATGGACAAATAACATGCACTGGCCAATTTAAAAAATAAATATAAATGATGGCAATTAAAACTTTAATATCTTTAAACAAGATTTTTTTAAAAAAACTGATGAATTTAGTAAAGTTTAAAAAGATGGCAGGGGCTCTGGTTGGAGCAGGTGGGTATGGGGAAGCAGGCCCTTAAGAGGCTTCTGCCACATGATATATCTTCCTTGCTCTCCAGATACTTTGGGCTGGTGTGTGCTCCTCTCCCAGACGTTCCACAAGGCTCAGGTCTGAGCCCCCTTTTCTTGCCTCATTCTGTCCCATTCATGTCTATGACTTCTGTTCCACTCACAGAAGCCTCTCAATTCATAGTTCCTGCTCAGGATCTCCTTCTATATTTGAGGACTTAATGAATTTCATTTGACTTCTTCTGGGTGTCTTACAGGCATCTCACATTTCTTAAGTCTCAAGCTGAGTTCTTTATCTTCCCCCCACCAAACCATCATCAGCTCCTCAAATGTTCCTTATCTCAGTGGCACCCACCCTCGTCCAGACAAACAAGGCCACGACCTGAGCTTTGTGTTTGATAATCTTGCCCTCATTCCTCATAATCAGCCAGTCACGGATTAGGGCCAATTCTAACCCCTTATCGTCTCTCCAGTACATCCTTCTCTCTATCTCCACCACCGTGATCTGAACCAGGGTTTCTCCATCTGAGCACTATCGACATTTCAAGTTGAATAGTTTTTGTAATAGAAACTGTCCTGTGGATTATAGGATGTCATTTAGTAGCATCCCTGATCTTTACCCATCTGCTAGGAATGTTATCCCCCCTGCCCACAACTTGACAAACAAAAATGTCTCTAGACATCATGAAGTGTCTTCTGACTGATGAAATTTCCCTGGTGAGAACCCCTGGTCTAAGCTACTGTACACTCTTTCCCAGATGTCTCCTAATTGTAGCTAATCTCTGTGTTCATTTCTTCCTTTCTGATCCATTTTTTCTCACTGCTGCCAGCCCTATCTCCTTATTTATTCATTATTTTATTTTGCCTTTTGGTATAGTTGTACATTTGATGGGTGTGGTGAAATGTTCCCATATATGTACATCTATATGTTGTGTAATGATCAAATTTGTAATGATCAAATCAAATATTCATCACTTCAGATACTTTTTATTTCTTGTGGTTATAACTTATCAAAATCCTGTAAAGAACATTTTTTATGATACTGGGAAAGGAACAGTTCCTTCTAGCATGAGATCAAAGCAGGGAGATAGTCAACCAACTTGAATCCTTAAAATTGAAAAATCATTGTATTGAAAGATTTCCAAATACACATAAATTGTGGAGAGATGCTAGTGATTTCGAAGTATGTGATAGAATATTTTAACTATAGTCACCCAACTGTGCAATGGAACTTCATAACTTATTTCTT